AGGTTTTAGGGGCAGGCTGGGCTTTAGGGGCAGGATGAGCTCAGGGGGAGCCAGGCTGAGCTTTAGGGGCAGGCTGGGCTTTAGAGCCAGGCTTTAGGGGCAGGCTGGGCTCAGGGGGAGTCAGGCCAAGCTTTAGGGGCAGGATGAGCTCAGGGGGAGCCAGTCCAGGCTTTAGGGGCAGGATGAGCTCAGGGGAAGCCAGGCTGAGCTTTAGGGCCAGGCTTTAGGGGCAGGCTGGGCTTTAGGGGGAGTCAGGCTGGGCTTTAGGGGCAGGATGAGCTCAGGGGGAGCCAGGCTGGGCTTTAGGGGCAGGCTGGGCTTTAGGGCCAGGCTTTAGGGTCAGGCTTTAGGGGTAGGGTGGGCTTTAGGGCCAGGCTTTAGGGGCAGGCTGGGCTGAGGGCCAGCCGGGTTTAACCCCTGGGCTGCCCTCGGGTACCTGCGGGCACAGCCCCGGGCGCGGAGCTGAGTCAGGCTGGGCTCCCGTGACATCACCGGGCTCCACATGACCCTTCCCAGGATGCAGCCCGAGAGACAAAGCACTTTCCAGAAACCAGTCTGAGCCGGCAGCACGCTCAGCTCACCCCGGGCACCCTTCCCCTTCCTCCTCCTCCTCCTCCTCCTCCTCCTCCTCCAGCACCCACAGAGCTCCCCGCGCTGGGATGAGCCCCCCCAACCCGGATTCTCAACTAATTAATGCCATTAATTTAGTTATTTGCACTGCCCTTCCCCTCTTCTAAAGAGGTTTTATCCTTCTCTTTTAAAGAGATTTTACCCCTCTCTGTTTTAAAGACATTTTACTCCTATTTTAGAGATTTTACCCCTCTCTTTTAAAGACATTTTACCCCTATTTTAGAGATTTCACTCCTCTCTTTTAAAAGACATTTTACCTCTCTTTTAAAGAGATTTTACTCCTCTCTTTTAAAGACATTTTACCCCTATTTTAAAGAGATTTTACTCCTCTCTATTTTAAAGAGATCTTATCCCTCTCTTTTTTTAAAGAGATTTTGCCACTCTCCTTTTTTAAAAAGATTTTTTTCCCCCTCTCTTTTTTTTAAAGAGATTTTTTTTTTTGAGAGAGAGATTTGGCTCTGCCAACTGGGGTGGGATGAGACAACCCCCCCTCCCTTAACTTTTAACTAATTAATGGCATTAATTTATTCATTTTCACTGTCCTTCCCCTCTTTTAAAGAGATTTTATCCTTCTCTTTTAAAGACATTTTACCCCTATTTTAAAGAGATTTTATCCCTCTTTTAAAGAGCTTTTATCCTTCTCTTTTAAAGAGATTTTACCCCCTCCCTTTAAAGACTCTTCACCCCTCTTCCAAAGAGATTTTATCTCTCTCTTTTAAAGATATTTTGCCACTCCTCTTTTTTAAAAAAGATTTTTTCCCCCTCAGTCTTTCTAAAAAGGTTTGTTCCCTCTCTTTTTAAAGGGATTTTTTCCTCCCTCTCCTCTTTTTTTTTCCAGGCTCTGCCAACTGGGGTGGGA